AAGGAAATATTACATTGGTTAGAGCCTTTGGATAACATATCAAACATAGAAGACACAGATAATAAAATACGGACTATTAAGTAACATAATAAATGGGAAAGGTTATATTTTTAATAAATATTAGATATAAATGTTGCATTGATTGAGCTATAAAAATCAGTTAAGTTTCCTAAGCTATAAAAAGATTATATTGCATTAAATTTAAATGCCATCTAAACAATTAAAACCATCCCGACACGATAATATAATTAATTATTAACATATTTTAAAAGTTCAAATTTCAAAATAAACACAACAATTAGTCTCAGTAAGTACTGCGAAATAATAAGATAAAAATAAAATAAACCTCAAGCGGAACCAACACCTGGAATGGCAATCAGCTTGACTTGTTCCATTATAAATAAATAATTCAATTAAAATTATAATGAAATTGTGGAAAATGTGTGTCAATAATATGTGTGCGTGTGCTATCTGTGTGGATATATCACCAGTATATAGGTGTACCCCTGTCGGTTTCAGAAGGCTAATCAAGTGGCTACCCTAGTTCCCATTTGTAGAACCTTTGGCATATACATAAACAATTATACTAAGTGCCACAATTTACCAAGGGCCATAAATCAATAGGACCAAGCAGTTGGAGACTCGGTTTCGTTTTATTAATTATTATTATTGAAATATATCTGCCACAGTCGCACTGACATTGCCACCCCCTCCAGAGTTGGACAAACAGAGAATTACAGACATTAGCCAGTGTCAATAGAGACGGAAAAGCTGACACTGACCAGTCCTAAATTATAGTGTAGTCGTTTCCCGTTTGTTCTTAGCCAGTGATAATCCCGGCGAAACTGCAGCTAAAAATTAAGCAAAGCTCTTGAGCGGTATGCTTAATGGAAATGCGGTAATAAAAACGAAATGCGATGGAGGGAATGTCGGTGGGAGCGAGTGGTCTAAATAATGCGCCAGAACGGTGAGCTGCTAATAAAAAATGCAGCAGGCAGGCAGGCAGCTTCATCAGCAGAGCAGGCCAAGCGGAAACGGAAATAAGCAAGCAGCCCGAAATCAAAAAAGGACGAGGCAGCTGCTGCAGCAGCTTCTGTGCTCCAAGCTCCACGCTCCATCCTGGTCACTTATTTCGTACACAAAGTACATATTTTACTTAAACATAAGCAATGGCTATTATTTTAAGTTACCCACGCGCTCGCTGATTTAATTTCAGACTATTATGCGCACACAATGCCAACGGTAAACGCAAAAAGAAACTAGAGGGAAAGTAAAAGCCCGAAGGAGGCAAAAAAAAGAAGAGAGTGGAAGAAATTGGGAGTGAAAAGTTACCCGGCAAGACGATGCTTTTAATACACTTTGCATAACTAACTGTCAGGGTTTTTATAGCTTTACGATATGATGAAATTACCTTGTGATGGCAAGGGCAGTATGCAAAATGAAGGCTTGATAAGATATTGTTAGCCATGCTCTATTAAAGGAATATTTCAGTAAATGCTAAAATACTTTATGGATTTTCTTAAATCTTAAGAACTTTGCGTTATTAACCCAGAAATTCTGTAGACCCAAGCTCTTGCTGTAATCCCAGGACTCTCAACTTGTGCAAAGTTTATTGCTATATTCCGGACTTCAGCAATATGCCAGCAAAGTTCTGGCCGTGGTTTTGAGCTCATGTTGCTCTTTCACTTTTTATGCTGTTGCATTTCTTCATTTTCCTGCCCCTGCAGATTTGGGTCGACCATTTCAATGGGTTCATATTCTGTAGCTAGCCCCACCTAAATTTTCTCCTCCAAGCTTTGCTTTTTTATGGTCCGTTTTCCCAGTCCGTCGGGCTTCCATTATTTTTGTGTACTGGTCAACACTGAAAGTACATTAGCCTCTTTAGCTATTTTTCAGCCTTTGCCTGCTTATTGGCATGATAAGGAAATCGGAGGTTCAGAACGCATGGCTTCACATTCCAAAACAATTTGTGCTAATTTCGAGTCGTGATGACTGGGAAATTAAAGGAGCTTCAAAAGAAACACCGGAAAAGGGAGTGGAAAACAGAAAAATGGACTACGTTTGATTGCTAAGCTATAAGAAATAAAAAATTCTGATGAAACCCCTAAATGATGTAATGGATAAACGATGAGGCCTTGTAAAAGTTTGAATAAAAGTTTTGTTTACAAACCACTGCTTATAATTAAAGGTTGACCAAACATTTAATTATAAGGAAAAACTCGAAGCCCTATAAGGCCATTTCGAGTTACTCAATCAATTATTTAAGAACTTGCTTCCCACCCACAACTTTTGAAGGATTTTTAAGCAATGAAATTGAATCATGCCACAAACAAACAGTCAGTCAGTATCTGGTCTTGACTGAAACCAAATGCATTAGACGAAAAATTAAATTCACAGAGAAAATTCCGCAATGCCGGAGCAGCCTGATTTCCCCATAAAGTACAACAAAAGCGCAGCCCGTAAGCAGCTTTGATTACCGACACTCACAACGGATTTATTTCCCCTTTGCCCCGCATTCGGTTACCTTTTTCGCTCAGTGTGCGAGTGTGTGTGTGCTTAGGCATTTGAAACCTGATTAGTTGTCAAGCACTTCAAGTGCCAGGGCTCGGGTTGTTTGGGACCTGCGATGGTTCGGTTTGGCTGGATTCCTACCTCTGCAGCTGTGTGTGAAATTTATTGTTTCAAGTTAATGCCACTTGATGGATTATTTGGCTTTGTACTGCCAAAGCTTTGATTTCTGTTCTTCTTTGCTTTGAAATGAGATATCCCTGGTTGGTTTTTTTAAGTTCTTTTTTCTTCTTGGAGGTGGGGAGACGCTTTAGCAAAGCGAAATTGATGACTTAAAGGCATTAAACATTCTTTAATGATCTTCTCTTAAAAAAATACAACTGATATTCCAATTTGTTAGGGGTTTCACTTTCAGAATTATTCGGCAAAAAACAAGTTACTCAAAAATGTGGTTGATTTTTTATTTTCAACAACCAGAGTAATCGATCCCTATTAATTTTCTGCTGATTTCGGAAGCAAGTATTTTAATTTCGATTAGTTTAAAATCCTGGTTTACAATTTATAAAGTTTTTTTGGGAATTTTGTTTAACGAAGTATGTTTTTGAGTCTGTTTAAGTCTAACAATAATACTGATAGAAAAAAGAAACCTAATTCAAATTACTAAATCTTAAGCGAAACAAATACATAACATTTTTAATATTTCTTGACATGGAATATACTTAAAATCCTGATAATAGAAGTAAAATTTGTATGCTTCTGGTTATAAATGGCTTGAATCAAAGAATATTCAGAAAACTTCGGGTCCGGCTACTCCCACCGACCTGCTGTTTGGATCGGATGTGCCAGAAGTCATCTTGGAGAGTTCCGCTATTAACTATTAAAATTAATTGTGAAACTTTTCGCAGCGAGTTTGAGGCGAGTCACACGCTTCGTCTTCCATTTGGGCTCATAAATCTCGGCTGTCTGCACACACACTCGCATCCTTTCAGCCGTTGTCCTCGAGAGCCTGTCAACAAAGGGGCAGTGAAAGTTTTCGTGTGTCATGACAATATTTACATGCTGCATTAAACTTGCTCCCCCTGACAGGCGAAACTTTTGCAGCTGCTGCTCATGTTATTAAAGTTGCGCATACGCCAGGTTGTCCCCTGGCCAGCTTGATTTATGCGAGGCGCCTTAAGTTTTGGACCAGGCTTTTAATAATTTAAGCTCTGCAGAAAATCAGAGACGAGATAGCTATTCTCCCCCCCGTTTTCCCGAATTTTCCCTCTGGCCCGTTGCCAAGCCACGTTGCGCTGACTGAGCCGAAAAATGCAAAAATTCCCTGCCGCCGCTCCTCGTTTCTGGCCATGTTGACAATGGCGGCAACAAAGCGCATTTGGCAACCGCCTGCAGCCTTGCCAGCACCCGTACTCGAACCCATACCCCAACCCACACATCCACATGCGAAGACGTGCTCAGCAAAAGTGAAATGGCAACAATATATATGTGAGAATGCGAATGCGAATGTTACCAGCCCATCCACAATGCAACCGGGTGCGAGACTCACTCGGTTGCATATAGTACTACTCTGCATGCTATAGTATATATAAAAATAAAAAGTAGGTTATGCACAGACAGCATTTTAATATGATTTCCATGGCTTACGTCTCCTCGAGATAGACTAACGCACTTCGCAGACTGACTAACTGACACCCCGGCATCAACAAAATGATCAAAGGCAATGGGAAATATTATCCCTGACACAGTCACAGTCGCAGACAAATTTGTAAGTTTGCCTCGTTTGTGTGACCCACTTTGGAGTTGTTTTGTGGCTTAAAACATATCAGCTGGGATTTTCAGCCAAGTTGATAACGCAGAAACTCTTTTATTTAGCCTTATGGGGACAAGGCCCTGACAAATGTGTAAGCATGGGTTGGAAATAATTGCAGCTGGTCATTTTGAAGTAGGAAATATTTTTATATATTTTTCCAACCATTTGTATTTTAAGCAAACTTGTGGAGATGCCATTCTCAATTAAAAGAACCCACAAAACATTTATATAACAACTATTTGCAGCTTATACAGTATTTAATAAAAAGATTAAATATTAGACAATAGACAATATTATTTAATTTCTACTTCAACATATTTCTTCCAAAATATAATTTTGAATATGTTACATTTGTATATCTTCTTATATTTGTTTCTTATATTTCTCTTATTGTATTTTCTTTCATTCCCAGATTATTATTATAAGAAGACTGACTCAATTTCTGTACTGAACTTACTTCAAATACCCAGAGTCTTTTTGTTACGTATTGATTGTTTACCTATTGTTGTTACAAAATTGTTTCTATTTTTAAAGCCTCCACTTTTGTGGCACAATGCCCTGCATTAATATTCCTAGCATACTTTTGAGCATTTACTTTCGTCAGAAGATTGAGAAGGTATAAAATGAAATGTACAATGTACATGTTTATTTTGGTAGATACACCCTCCCCACATGCACTTACCCCTGCTTTTGGCCGCGTTTGTATCCCTTTGCTGTGGCGTTTACTCCGCTTTTTGGCGTTCTTTACGGCCTTTGTAATAAAATCAGCCCGCAGGGGTTTGGGCCACAGTGTTGTTGCCTCGCTGTGCTTATTGCTTATTGCTGCTGTTGAGGGCGTGTTGGCGTTGAGCGGGCATTTTATGCAGCCAGCGGAGAGACGCACACATCATACCAATGAGGGGCAGGAGGATCTGGATCTGAATCTGAATCTGAATCAGGATGTGGATGTGGAGGAGCGGCAGGCAATTGAGCAAAAAATATGGCAAAGTATTTGGCGGGTGCGAGGCATAAATTTCGATTTCGGCGGCCTTGCTTTTGCTTTGCTCGCTTTTTTCTCGGTTTCTCGTCTTGGAATCGCCGCCTGCCGCGAGGGCAATATTTAAAGTAGCAGCCGATGCGAACTTTATTTATGACTCAATAATGTGTATTTTGATTTATGCATTGTGGGCGCGTACAACAGCGCACATATACGCGGTTACACTGTAACTGTGGCACACACACACACTCTCGACCGCACTCACTCACTCACACACTCACTGGTATTGTTGCCTCAAGCCAAAAAGGACGCGATTTGCATAACAACACACATTCAGAAACTTAACGCAGGCGTTTGAGAGTTGTTTCTACTTGTACTTCAACTTCTGCTTGGACTTCTAGCACGTGCACTCTCGTTACGTTTTCAGCATTCAACAATTGCCATAAACCGACTGGAGATATCTTGAATATCTGGTTGAAAGGCTGGCACTTGTTTCTTGACTTCCAGCTGAAATGCTTCGTTTGCCAGTTTGCGGATGCGGACGGTCAACACTGCGGCTACGCGATGTGAGGCGATGCGATGCGATGCGATTCGATGTCCGTACGACAACGACGGCGACAACGACAACGACAACGACAACGACAACACGATAACGACAAAACGACAACGACAAGCGGCAACAACGGAGCACGACAACTACACAAATCCACGACCTTTTCAGTACTAAAGCGCCTGGCCATTCATTCGTGGCTTTGGCCACTTTTGCCATCGCCATCGCCCTCCACGATTCGAGTCCTTCGGCTCTCGTTCGGCTCGCGCATTCTCGAATTGCCGAGCAGTCTGAATCCTTTGAGTTACCGTGTGTGTGAGCCCTGTAAGTGGGCCAACGCTTGTCGCCGGTTCGACATCGAAAAGCGAACGGCGGTCCAATTCCGGATTATAAGAGTTCTGGGTGGAACATCCAAAAGCCGTGCGAACCGTGGGTCTGTGGATGCCATGTGGTCGGTAAGCTCTCCGCAGATGCCTCATGAACTTGAATTGTCAAGTTTGTCAGCGTAATATAAACTGCAAATGGTACAAGATCGAAACTACATAGTTGTTAGGAAAATTCAAAATTTGTAATTCATTTCACCTTTCACCAATTACCAATTACCACCAATTATTTAAAGAATATTGTATTATATATATATATATGATAAGGAATATTCAATGAATACTATGATAATGAATACTAAAGCCTTGTAAAAACAGTCAATATAGCAATCTTAAAAATAACATTTTATATGTTTAAAAAATAATCAACTCGTTTCTAGTTTAAGCAATATAAGCTAAGAACAAATTTATAAGAACCCCTCTATTTTAATGTAAAGCCCATCTAAAATTTAGTCCTATACTTAACTATCCATTCCTATACACTGCTAGGCAGTGCTAAAGTTTTATTGTCAGATCCTAAAATACACAAGATCATAATTTTTTGGGAACCCTTTCCCTTGCTGAGATGGGTCGATCCTACCTCAACACCCTTCTGCCCTTCGAAACCCTCTCAAAACACATTCCACCACGCAATTCTGTGGAACCTTTTCGGCTCTCTCGCCTTCTCTTTCCAACTCTCCTGCTGTCTCTCTTTAAGGCCGCCTCTCCCTAGATGAATGAGAGTTTCAAAAAGCGGTTACCAAGAGCATCTCGATGTTACTGCAGCTTCGCTGGTCAAGGCAGCCAGTCAAGGATCACAGATTACAATAGATGTTGCACTAAAACATAACTTAAATTTCTTCATCATCATACCATAAAACCAAAATAGTATATACATATAAACCCAACCAAATTCTGAAGAAGACATAGAAACCCCTTTCCGGATTTGAAAAATGTTTTAAAAAACCCCATGTTTAAGGACTGTATCATCCTAACTTTGAGAATGATTTATCTGAATACAACCCACTCATTAATAAGACTTCCTTGATTGGTTTCGCCAACCTGGAGGCTAAAAAATGGCACCGCTACAACTTAACCTACACCACCATTAAAATCACGCACCACACCGCTTACAAAAAACTCTACTACAATGGGGTGTAAGCGTGTAAGTTGACATGGGACCACGAGACCCGAGGCTCGAATCTCTCCCGCTTTCTCTCGCCTTTCTCCGGCTCTCTTTTCGATTTCGAATCTGTGGTTTCGACAGACATGCGCCCCAAACCAGCGAAAAAGCCGAACGACTCTTGTGGAACGCGAAAACTTTCGTTTGGCATGAATGGGATTTTTTCAAAATTTCCAACGGTTTCACTCTTATACCACTCAAAGAAAGCTCCCGCATCGCAAGTAGCATCCACTCAATGGATGAAGTAGGGACCCAAAGGATCCACTGCAACAATTGCACAGCCTAATCTTATCAAATTTCATTTACACGCTTGGCCAGGCTCTAATGGCAAATCCAATGCCAAAATGAAAATGGAACTAAACCACTTTCGTCAGCACACACATACTCATGGTGTTCCTTCTTATTTTCCACACTCAGTTAAGGATGTATACCCCATACATATATGGAAAATGTTACTGGTGATGTTGTCAAAGTATTTGGCTGCTCAACACAGCATTCTTTTGGCCAAAATTGCGCTGGCTAAACATTAACTAAAACTGCAAAATGCCATCACACACACACACACACAGGGAATCAAACACCCAGGATGACACACTCACACACATGAAGCTTCGTGTGTGGTGTGGATTGTCGGTCTTCTGTTCCTGCAAAATCTCAGCGCTCAACCGCCGAGCATGGCATTTCATCAGGCTGGAGCAACGAGAGCAGCAGCCCCAGAATGAGTCCAAAACCAATGAGTTGGAGGTCATTTGATACCCATTAGTTACTGAAAGGTTCTAGCCTAAGGTTTTCAACTTTTAGAACCACTTTTTTGACTATTAAAACATTATTAAATTTCAATAATGTTGTCAAGTATCATGATGTCAAGAACTATTTCCTGAAAATCCGTTTTCTCGCACTAGTTTGCTTTATAAAAACATTTTTACCAAGTGAGTGCCTTTGAAAGTGAAATCAAAAAAAATAATTTCACACAAAATCCAACGTTTCAATTTTAAGAATCACTTTTTTGACTATTACAACATAACAAAATTTTATTAACGTTGTGAAGTATCATGACATCAAGAATTATATTCTGAAAATCCGTTTTCCCGCGATTGTTGGTTTTAAAAAAACATTTTAAACATTTTTGGAATCGAATCTAAAAAAATGTCTCATATAATCCAAAGTCTGTCCTATCTTAATCTAGATAAATGTTATACTTTTTGTCGTAAACCTAAAATGGTTTCGATATAAGTTTGATTGGTATATTTTCATGAATTATTTAATTATATCTTTGATAAACTCATGATTGATTTTGTTTCAGCTTTATTCAGTTAGGGACTTAATGTTCTTATTAAAATATTACCGCTTCCTTTAGAACTTGTTGCCCAATTATGACTGCTCTCACTTTTATCCCCAACTACCTTTCCCACAAATGAGTAGCAGGTTTGAAAAAACCCTTAACCCCTTTTCCCTGGCTGGCGGAAAACCCCAGCAATGCGAGTAAAGGAAGTGCACTAAGTGCAGTGACCAAATAGCTGCCAGAGAGTCCCGAACCGGCAGCTGATCCTGCTCCTGATGCCCTGCTCCTCCCCCCTTGGTCCTGTTTTTGCCGCTGCTGCCACCGCCAGGAAGTGGCAATGGTGTTGCACATGACTTTATAGCTTTTACATTATTGTGTGTGCGGGGGGTGTGTGTGTGTGTGTTTGTGTGCGACAGTTTGGCTATAAAGCAAAAGTTGCATTAAATTTAAATCATGAGACGGCGGTTTCTGTGGCCACCGCTCTCTGATGAGCCCACACTGACGAAAATAAATAGATTCACCTAATTAAATGTCTTCCAATTAAGGGATATTCAATTTATAGGTACTAGAAAAGCTTACTTTTCCGACCCGACTCAAAACAATTTGAAGGTTTAATAGAGCTTTAATTATTCAAACAATTATTTTCCTAATAGCAAATTTAAAATGGTATTTTTTTAAGTGCCCTGAGCTGGTGAAAAGTTAGGAGCGCTGCTCAACGTTTTGTCATTAAAAGTTGAGCTGGTGCATCGGAAAGCTTTTGGCGGTGGTTTAAACTTGCATTCGCCTAACCACCTCCAAAAATTCCAGAGCCCTGCAATCACAATTAGCCCGACAACACACGCAATTTGCATGCGAATTCGATGCGCTGTGAGCAACAATTACATAATTATAACGCACTTTTGATGCATTGTCATAAATGGGTGTGTGCGGGTGTACGTGGGTGTGTGTGTATAGGCATCTATGTGCGGGCAGGGCAACTAATTAATCAGCTTTCGTAATCAATGCTTAATGATGCAGCACCAACAGCGGCAGCACAACGGCATTTAAATGGTCTATAATTAAATCAAACACTCAATTAAACAGAGAACGAATCGAATTGGGAGCGCCGGGCTCAAATTGGATAAGGTTACTGATGGCCTGCTAATGAATAACAAGCAACACGAAATTACATCCCGAGGAGCCGAGTCATTGAGACCTTTTTCAACCTCTGGCGGGGTGAACCCCAGATGGGTTACACTCATTAATTAATCAAAACTTCAAATAGTAACCACAGAAACCGAACTGAGCTGAGCTTCAGCTTCGGCGACGGCTGAAACGTGGCGCACATCAAACTGACCAAAGGGTACTCAAAGGATTGCTTTGTCCTTTGGCGAGCTAAAAAGTTATCAGTTAATTATTCATCAGGTGAGATATTCAAATGTGATAGAGCAGTGTGTGGGAAGGCATAAGAATGCTGATTTATATCTATGTATTTGACGTAATAATTGGTTTTGTATATAAATGAAAATGATTGAAAATTATAGTTATCTTCTCATAGGACTTTCATAAATTTTAATGGATATTAAAAGCATTATTTTAGAGAGGCTGCTAATAAGCCATTATCAAATATGAACCAATTTCAAAATTTTATTATATTCAACACTTTTTATTAGTAGTTTTAATAAAACCTAGATCATACTATATAAAAATCAGATAGAGTATTTCGTAATCGTTGTGTTCCCGCCAACTTTCTTTACTCCTTCGACTGCCCTTGTATCTTGCTTCCTTTTGGTCAAGCTGTAAATTTATTTTACCACACATTGAGATACATTCCATCGGGAGCATGGCGGGGACAAGTCTTCTGCTTTTTGGCCAAGTGGCAAGTTTACCGAAACTTGCAAAAAAGCTGGAAACTGGGAAGGCAGGGGGAAACTGTGCTAAAAGGAAACAGCAGCGGCGCCGGCAACTCCTTGTTGCTGCAATCCAGATTCACAGCCAGCCGCAGAGGTGTAACCAAGTCCTTGCAACAAAAACTTTCTACACATGTTGCAGTGTGTGTGTGTGAGTTGATGTTGCTGCTAGTTTTGCTTTTGCCTTGCTGCTGTTAGCAGCCAGTGAGGCAAGCAAAAGCAGCGACGGACCATGGACGCCTCCTGGCCAGGACCAGGCTTCCTTAAATAATAAAAGTCCAAGCAGGAGAAGGACGAACAGAGTTGCAAGCAGCAAACGAGCGGTGCAGCAGAATAGATCACTGAGAAAAATGGGAACATTAAATAATGCCAGTATAAAAATAAAAGTACCGATGATACCCCATCAGATTAAGATAATAATACCTAAAATACCTAAGAATTA